TGATCCCATTAGTCAAATAAGCTAACAGTGATCCCATTAGTCAAATAAGTTAACAATGATCCCATTAGTCAAATAAGCTAACAGTGATCACATTAGTCAAATAAGCTAACAATGATTCCATTAGTCAAATAAGCTAACAATGATTCCATTAGTCAAATAAGCTAACAGTGATCCCATTAGTCAAATAAGCTAACAGTGATCCCATTAGTCAAATAAGTTAACAATGATCCCATTAGTCAAATAAGCTAACAGTGATCACATTAGTCAAATAAGCTAACAATGATTCCATTAGTCAAATAAGCTAACAATGATCCCATTAGTCAAATAAGCTAACAGTGATCATATTAGTCAAATAAGCTAACAGTGATTCCATTAATCAAATAAGCTAAACATGATCATATTAGTCAAATAAGCTAACAGTGATCCCATTAGTCAAGTGAGCTAACAATGATCCCATTAGTCAAATAAGCTAACAGTGATCCAATTAGTCAAATAAGCTAACAATGATTCCATTAGTCAAATAAGCTAAAAATGATCATATTAGTCAAATAAACTAACAATGATTCCATTAGTCAAATAAGCTAACAATGATCCCATTAGTCAAATAAGATAACAGTGATTCCATTAGTAAAATAAGCTAACAGTGATCCCATTAGTCAAATAAGCTAACAATGATTCCATTAGTCAAATAAGCTAACACTGATCCCATTAGTAAAATAAGATAACAGTGATCCCATTAGTCAAATAAGCTCGCAATGATTCCATTAGTCAAATAAGCTAACAATGATCAGATTAGTCAAATAAGCTAACAGTGATCCCATTAGTCAAATAAGCTAACAGTGATCCCATTGGTCAAATAAGCTAACAGTGAACCCATTGGTCAAATAAGCTAACAGTGATCCCATTGGTCAAATAAGCTAACAGTGATCCCATTGGTCAAATAAGCTAACAGTGATCTCAATAGTTTTTATTTTCCTTTCACTGTACAAAACATGCCCTTTTGATCTTATAAAAACACAATTTAAACTTTAAATTTGAAAAATGAAATTGTAGCGAGCCAAATAATTGTGCTACAATATGAAGGTCCCTGGCCTTTCTATAATATGAAGGTCCCTGGCCTTTCTATAATATGAAGGTCCCTGGCCTTTCTATAATATGAAGGTCCCTGGCCTTTCTATAATATGAAGGTCCCTGGCCTTTTTTTTAACGGTTAGTCTTTATTTCCCCCTTTAAATCATATCAAAATTAATTTGCTAGTTATTTTTAATTGGTTTTCCCATAAAATTTAAAACTTGTCATTTTTAATAAAGACATTCAAATTGAAATCAAAAGCTTTATTTTTGAAAAGATAACTTTTAGCACAAGAAAATAAAGGAAGCGTAATTCAATGCATTTCTGACCCCCCTAAATATCCAAACTTATTGGAATTATTGTATTTTTGCAGAGCATTTGTAAATTTTTATCTGGATTTAATAAAACATACCTCAAGCCTGAGTTGCTTTTCTCTTTCCTCTAGCTCACGTATTCGCATATCACGGGCAGTGATGATTTTTCTCACTTGGGTTAATTTCTTCTCCAAGTTTTCAGATCTCGTATTCATTGAATATCGTTCTGCCTTCAAAGACAAGAGCTGAAACATTTGTTGTTGAATAGATTTGGATTACAGTAATAGACACTCGGTAACAGAAACTAATTTGAACATGACAGATTTATCATTTATCGTTATAATAGAAATAAATTTGAACAGGACAGATTCATCATTTATTGTTATAATTGAAACTAATTTGAACAGGGCAGATTTATCATTTATTGTTATAATTGAAACTAATTTGAACAGGGCAGATTCATCATTTATTGTTATAATAGAAACTAATTTGAACAAGACAGATTTATCATTTATTGTTATAATTGAAACTAATTTGAACAGGGCAGATTTATCATTTATTGTTATAATTGAAACTAATTTGAACAGGGCAGATTCATCATTTATTGTTATAATAGAAACTAATTTGAACAAGACAGATTTATCATTTATTGTTATAATTGAAACTAATTTGAACAGGACAGATTCATCATTTATTGTTATAATAGAAACTAATTTGAACAAGACAGATTTATCATTTATTGTTATAATAGAAACTTTTATGAACAGGACGGATTTATCAGTTACGGTAGTGTTATGGTGTGAGTCAAACTATACTGAATAAAATGAAACTTTTAAGCAAATATGCATTTTGAGAAAAAGTATTTTGACTGAAATAAATGTAAACAAAACCAATTCTCAGCAACAAAGGGTTTTTGAAATCTATTGAATTTCAATTGATGAAAGATTTTGAGTGGGTTTTGACATCCACCCCTCAATCACGCTGATCTCAACCCATCCACTCTTCTTATCAGTAGTGTTAAAACGAGTCAGCAAACCTACTTCTTGGGCCTGTATCCTGCTCTCCTCTAGAGTTGGCAGCTCATCAAAGTAGTGTTGAAGTCCATCTAATTTTTTTTTCATATCGTGATGACTGTTGCAACATTCAAGAAACTTTGCTTTCCAGGCTTTGGCCTTTTCTGTTTTTTCAGTTAACTTTAGAAAAATGGAAATCTCAAGTTTTTAAAGTGTACAAAAAGTTTTTAACGAGTATAGAATTTTAAAGATGTAATGACTGAATTATAACTGCTTTCACATTTTTTATTTCACCTGTTATAGACTGACCTTTGCTACCATTTTTAAATTAACACAATAATTTCTTTTTTTTTATTAAAATAGTTTTCCCTTAAATGTTGGCCCACCATCCCCAATCCACTGCCCCATTAAATGTTGGCCCACCATCCCCAATCCACTGCCCCATAAAATGTTGGCCCACCATCCCTAATCCACTGCCCCATTAAATGTTGGCCCACCCTCCCAAATCCACTGCCCCATAAAATGTTGGCCCACCATCCCCAATCCACTGCCCCATAAAGCCTTTCAAATCTGGAAGACAATTGTAAATATGAAATTATTAAACAGCTGCTGACTAAATGGCAACAGTCATAGAGAGTTCCCTGGTAGCTGGCATAAAGGGTTAAGAAGGTCAGACTACACCACAGCTCTGCAACCAGTGGCGTGGTGCAAGATGATGCTGGGTGTGCATCAAAAAAAAAAGGGAGAAAAAGCACAGAGTATATGTCAGCCAATAACTATACAACTGTGTTGATACAAAAGGGACATCAATTAGCCCACTGCCATGGTATTTTTTCATCCACTGCGGCAACAGAAAGTTATCCAATACATGGAGCAATAGTTTAATCAGATATCTTTTAGCAATGCAAGCCATTATGAATGTTAAATATATTCTGTTATTTAGGATAAAAGTTTTACTGCCCCATGTAAATTTCACATATGCAACTCTAAAAACACCAATATTTTAAACATATTTTTACACATGGTGTGACACGGAATTCATGGAAAGCTCTGGGCTGTGAGACGCATGAAAAAAGGTTGCAGAGCTCTGGGCCACACAACAGATGCCCTAAAGTCGTAATGGATCTGAGAAATTATAAGTATAAAGTGGATCTAAAGTTTTAATGACTTGTACCCTCCCAAGCAACACAGCCCTTCAACTCATCATTTCAGCTTAGTTTCAAGTGGATCTAACTTTGTATTGACTTGTATCCTCCCAGCAACAGAGCCCTTCATCTCATCATTTCAGCTTATTTTCAAGTGGATCTAACTTTGTATTGACTTGTATCCTCCCAAGCAACACAGCCCTTCAACTCATAATTTTAGCTTAGCTTCAAGTGGATCTTAAATTGTAATTACATGTATCCTCCCAGCAAGACATCCCTTCAACTCATCATTTCAGCTTAGCTTCAAGTGGATCTAACTTTGTATTGACTTGTATCCTCCCAGCAACAGAGCCCTTCAACTCATAATTTCAGCTTAGTTTCAAGTTGATCTAACGTTGTATTGACTTGTATCCTCCCAGCAATCAGCTCTTCAACTCATCATTTCAGCTTAGTTTCAAGTTGATCTAACGTTGTATTGACTTGTATCCTCCCAGCAATCAGCCCTTCAACTCATCATTTCAGCTTAGTTTCAAGTGGATCTAACTTTGTATTGACTTGTATCCTCCCAGCAACAGAGCCCTTCATCTCATCATTTCAGCTTAGTTTCAAGTGGATCTAACGTTTTATTGACTTGTATCCTCCCAAGCAACACAGCCCTTCAACTCATCATTTCAGCTTAGCTTCAAGTGGATCTAACTTTGTATTGACTTGTATCCTCCCAAGCAACACAGCCCTTCAACTCATCATTTCAGCTTAGCTTCAAGTGGATCTAACTTTGTATTGACTTCTATCCTCCCAGCAATCAGCTCTTAAACTCATGATGCTCAGGATCTAAAAAAGCCAAGTTAGCCGCCCAGTTCAAGCTTATATTTTTAATAGCAATATGGATGTAAAAAAACATCAATAAATGATATTTTATACTCACTTGTGTCTGTAGTTCAGAGGTCAAAGTGTCTTTAGTTTGCAGTTCGGTTCTCATCTGCTGTAACTGGTGCTCGCAGGCGCTTCATTTTTTGAAAGGAAAACTTGTTATATTTCTTTATGTATTGGTTTAACAAAGCGTTTCATAAAACTTTAACATGAATAAGAAATTTGGGGACATTGTCTGTGTTCAATCTCATGCACTTTCTTCCCACTTCAGAGAATCTCCTCCTACCAAAGTTCCTCAAGTTATATGAAATACAGAAATGTATGGGTCCTTAGGCAAATTTTATTCAAAATAATTTATATAACTTAAACCCCCAAAATGTTATGTAATTAAATATAATGATTGAAAAAAAATGGAAGAAAGATTATTTTAAAAATGAACTTCTGTTATTTTCCTTACCCTAGTTTCATTTCTAAATCATCCACCTCCGTCATTTGTTTTGAGCTTGCCTCATTCATTTGCTCCTTCATGGAAATAGTTTTATGCTGTAATTCCTAATTTTGAAAAAAGAAAACTAATGTATCACAAAAACAATCTTTGAAACTTTTCCTAGGCAACTGACAAAGGAGTGTGATTAAATTATTTTTTTTAGTTTGCTTAATGCTACAATAAAGTGGTTCCCAACCTTTTGACTTGTGGACCCCTTGTAAGAATAATTTTTTTACAATGGAGCCCCTTAGGCCTATAATTACCTTATAATTTAATGATGTTTAGGAGTTTCCTAGAGCAACAGCAAAACCTATGAGACGTGCACTGCTAACAGAGCACGGTTGGGAACCACTGCTATGATGGAACTACACAGGGTTTAACTTTTAAACTGTTAATATAACCCAGTAAGAAATATGAAAGGAATCTACATCACAAAATTAGCAGTTGATACATCATTAATTTCAATTTGAATAGAAAAAGGATAAGGACTACCGTATGACAAGATTCTCACCAAAAGATGAACCATAATTATTCAAGACATTTTGTCTTAGAAACTTTTCACCCTCTTCTTTCCCTTATTTTAAATGGGTGAAAATGAGAAGTGGGAAAATCATGCAATATATTTAATTGAATAGCTTACCATATTTAAGTAAGCTTATAACATGCGGGTAACATACAATGGTGATGTTTATAGAATAAATGTTACCTACTGGATTTTAAAATATAATTCACTGACTAATGGGGACTTTTCTGCATGGCGAATTTTCTGTGTTTGCAATCATCTTGTGGGAAATTTTCATTTGCGGAATTTGAGTGTGAGGGTAATAATCCGTTCAGCCATATTTTAATACAAATAAAACTTGTATAAAAAAAAAAAACATTGACCAGGAAATTAGATGCTTGATAACAGGAACTCTGACTTTCCATGCCATTAATTTCTAATCACAGATAGTCTTGGTTACTATAGAAAACTGTTCAATCACAAAAACAGTTTTCCCAAAAGCCAATGGCACACCTAAAAGGTTTAATTTTTTTTAATAATAATGAAATACAAGCCTTGCATTAGTCCTGGCCTAATCCTAAGGTGCAAAATTGTAAAAAATGGTCAGGAAGATGGCTACAAAGCTGTGTAAATTCTAATACAGAATAAAAGTTTCATTTCCAAACATCTTATCCTATTTTCCTTATTTGACAGTTTAGTTTATTTATGAAATATCACCTGTTCCTGTTCAATTTGACAGTAGTGCAAAGTGTCTAAGTGAATGATGCTTTAAAATCAGGGCTTCTTAAACTGTTGTTTACAGACCCCCTGGTGGTCTGTGAGTTGCATTTCCTTTGTAATATTATTGTATAAATTGAAAAACATTATTCTGATAAGGGGCTGGGGCCTCACTTTGACTGGCAATGTGGTCCATGGAACAAAATAGGTTAAGATTCCATGTTTTATATGATGGGATAAATTTATTTTAAAAAGTTCAGAACCTCTGGACTACAGAGTGGTAATAATGAAAAAAAAAAGTCTTGATCATGAAAATGGTTTCTGTTTGTTCCTTTACCTGAAGTTTTTTCTTCATTAAATCTGCTTCATCCTCTTTGGTCCTAAGAGCTTGCTTGAAATTAGTTTCTAATACATTATAGTCTTCTTCTAGTTCCAAAATCCTGTTTTTCAATCTTTAAGAAATCCAAAAGACAGTTTTATTAATTAATGTGTTTTAAATGTGCACAATATTTTTTGTAAATTAAGCAAAATGTCTCTAATAATACTAACATGACTTATTTGAAGAAGAAAAAACACAAATATATTTTTACAATGAGAAAAGAAGGGACAATGCGCCTTGTCATGGTGAAGTAGGGTGACGGGTGTCTTTCAGCTTCAAGTAAAATTGGTAAGGATAATGTGGTGTTTTTAATAAAAACATTCCCTGTCACATACAATAAAGTAGTCCAAAATACTTTTCAAATTATAATCCAATTTTGAAGCAAAATAATTATCCACATAAGTGAACAAAAAGTAAAGAAAAAAAGTGTCCAAAACACTGCCTGAGAGAGAAAGATATTTATTTGGCATGCACATAATAACTGTGGGGGATAAGCGCAACCATTGCAGTATGATATCAATTTCATCAACTACAATGATTCTATGACCTACTTTAATAACATTCAGGTAATCAGGAATTTACTTAAGCGCCATAATTTTGTGACTATTTTGTTGTCATTGGGTTGTTTTTTTGTAATGGAAGTCCAATGTGATGAAAGTCCAATGCACTGAAAGTCCATTGTGATGAAAGGGTAAAAATGCTGTAATACTAACTTGTCAATTATCATGTTTTTCTCCTTAATAATGTTGTCAGCAGCCCTCCTTACAGGCTCCCACTGAGATGGTGTTTCTTCAAAGTGAAGCTGGCCAAAAACTGGTTCCAGCATACTATGTGTTGTCTGACTGGTGGTGCTATCATACAAGGCCTAAAATTGAAAGTTACTATTAAAAACCTTCATTAAACAATTATCATTTGATTAATAATATGCGGATTAGTGAATATATTTTTCCTACCATCTGTAATGAGCTAGAGAGATAGATAAATGTTCCCTTAAAACTTTTTTAAAATTTAAGCAAGCTACTGAATAATAAAAGCATATTTAAAATTTGCCAGCATATTTGCCAGTCAGTTTACTCAGTAAAGAACTGCTTGAAAGTTTATTCACTTTAAAAAAAGACTTTTGTTACTAATAAAAGAAACATAAACACAAATATTAATAAAGCTAATAAATTAAATTTTTTTCTGGTGTAGTCCTCGGCTTTAAAAAAAAATTAATTGGACAGCACTGTCTTTGAGAATCAAGAAAAGTCAGAAAACAGGCCTAAAATTTATTAAAATTCTAACATCTGGCGACTTGTAGTGTTACCATTGAAAGGCTCAACATTTGTGGTTTGTGAAATGTCCATCAGTGCAAGAACACATTGATGGTCCAGAATTAAAAACATGTGGGTTGACATTTCAGGGAAAATATAGGAACAACATTATTTGAGATGCCCCTGTAAGTCAGCTGTGTTGATGCAAGCAGCCGGGGTGCACAACTTAGGAACCACTACTTAATGATAAAGTCGTTATTTTTTAACAAAAAATAGATGACTCTACATTCTACAATCATATATTTACTTTCCTTTTTTAACATTTCCAAGTTTCGTGGCTGATGCTTCCCATGAATAAGCATAATTTTAAATTAATTAATGCATAAGATAATAGACATAAGAAACCAAGAATGATACTAAGTGCTTGAACTCACCTGAGTTTCTAGGTGTTGATGCAATAATTCTTCTTGATGTTGCTGCTGCCAAGATCGGAGATCATCTTGAGGTGCTTTTAAATAACTGGTGTTGATGTCTTTCCGTTGTAAATAATTTGACTGTTGGTTCTCTGTATACCCTGAGCTATCATTCGTATAAGGTCTGTGGGAATTTTTTCTTCTTGCATTTTTGTGCTCAGAATTATTAATATCAACGTACGGTATCAAGGAATGTGTGGACCTTTGAGGAATTTCCTCTTTGAGAAATATTTTACTGTCATATTTTGAAGCTCTGTAATGTGGCTGTGAATCTGAAATGAATTTATTGAAGCCTAAGCTTACTTTTGTTTCAGCCCCATTCATAGGTTCCTTACTTTGCCAAGCTGCAGTTGGAAAACTGTCTTGAGCATAAGGGTCATTATGCATTACCATGAAGCTATTTCTTTGTGAAGGCTCTGGGTGCTGAATTACTGGTGATGGAATTAAAGTCTCAACTTCCTCAATCCAATCTAAAACGCACACAAAAATGCTTTTTGACATTGATAAAAAAAAAAGATATTTAACTAATAGATAACGTCTCATATGTGTATTTTACACAGCTTTGTGTGACCCTAGATGGTGCAAACCTGATGTAAAGTGTGTCTATGTTAACATTTGACTTGGACTTGGTCTAGTGTTAAATTTGTTTATCTCAGGGGTCACGAAACTTTTTCTTAGCCATTAACCCAAAATACATTCTTTTAAGCCAGTGGTTCTCAATCTTCATAATGCTGCGACCCTTTAAGATAGTTTCTCATGTCGTGGCGACCCCAAGCCGCACAATTACTTTCGTTGCTACGTCGTAGCTGTTAGTAAATGTGTTTTCAGATGGTCTTAGGCGACCCCTAGGAAAGGGTCGTGCGACCCCCAAAGGGGTCGCGACCCACAGGTTGAGAACCGCTGTTTTAAGCCAACGTTACCCCCTGATTTGAAAGGAAGAAAGTCATAGATAATTTTAATTCAAAATGGTTATTCAATCTATTTATTCAGAGGTTACAATTATAAATATAAAAATTATAAAATAAATGCGATAAAATAAATTAACAAACTCTTAATTATGGAACAAAATGATTTCTTGGGCAAAAAAAATTCACTTAAAAAATAGGATATACAGTGCTTCATTTTTGATGCAATAAAATCAAAATTGGGAAAACAAATTATATACTGTATTTGGGGTTCAATAATTGATTTCTCTGATTTATTTTTATGGGGAAAATCCTTGCACCTAAAGATGTAAAGTTGCAAAAGGTAGGAACTATTGACAGCCTACTCATGTGCTATTTTCAAGCCTATGGAGCTTTTGATGTTTTGAGCATAAGTAGTCGCATCAATTCTTCTTCTTTATTTTGAGGGCCCATGATCAATTTGAGTTGTGCAAAGGATGCAGACCGCACAGGGTTACACCCTGACAAGGGGGTGTCACAAATGGAAAATAGTAACATAAGTTAAATACAAGAGCTGAGTGACGCCAGAGCAGAGTGCAATAAGAAAAGGGTGCTACAGCACAGGGTGTCACCAGAGTAGAGTACCACCAGGGCAGGGTATCACCAGAGCAGGCAGACCTGTAGGAGGTCCTCAGGAAGTCTGAAGCAATTACGCAATTAAACAACTAAGCAATTATATATATCTAAAACACTCTTGTATAGTTCAATTAGTCTATAATAGAATTTTAATTGAATTAATTTTTCCCAGGATGAGAGTTACTGTATTTTTTGGCATATAACAGGCCCCTGCGTATGACACGCACCCCAATTTAAGAAAGAAATTACAGGAAAAAAACATGTAACATTATATCGGCGTATAACACGCACACATGATTTGCCCCCTAATTTCGGGGAGAAAAGGTGCGTGTTATACGCCAATAAATACGGTACTTTGATCATACTTTTTCAGATAAGCAAAACCCCAGGAAAAGGGAAGCACTTGGGGTTACCCAATTTATTGTTAACATATTCATTTTTAGCTGACTAACCAAGAGATAAAAGTAAAGAATACTTATATCTATATTATTTCAAAATACTTCTATACTCAGACGTGCTCTACAATGCTTCACAATTATTCTCTACTCAGATATGCTCTACAATCTTTTCATAATACTTCTACACTCAGATATCTAGAGGTTATTATTTAAATTTTACTCACCCTTTGAAAGTCTGTTTGCAGCAAAGCCTGTTTGCAAAATTTTCTGATAGTCTGAAAAAGGAAGACGTCACAATTTCATTTTATGAGTTTTAGTGTGTATGTTCCAAGCAGTTTGTGGAACTTTATTACAACTTATATTCAATTTAAATTCCAGTAACTTCTCTTGACATTACATGCTTAATTTTTTTTAAATATATCTTTACTACACTTAATAAATAGCATACAAGTGACATAAAAAAACAAAAAAACAGTTTCACTCATGTGGCAATTTATAAATAAATGCAGGTGTTAAAAATTGCTACTTCATCTGCCTTTTATAAACATTGCCACCTTTCCTCAGGCATTTCTTTTTTATTCCAGATAAAGGGTTAGTGAACTAATTAAAAATTACTTTTAAATATGAGTGAAATTTATTTGCAGAAGAACAGTTCATTACAAAATGTAAATAAATATATATTTTACAATGCAAAATATTTTTTTTTGTGCAAAAATTTACTCACCAGGCACATTAGTTAATTCTCTGACATCCATTTCAGGCAAAAATTGTATTATTCTTTTTTACACATCTGCCTAGTAAAAGAGAGGGTAAAATGAATAGCAGAAATATATATATATATCTCTCTCTATATATATTAATGTTACTATTACATATGGGTGTTGAAGTAAAAGGACTTCCAAAAATTAGGAATGTTTATGGGTAAAGTTAGGGCAAAAGTAATGAGACCAAAGATGTCAGGTAAAAGAAAATATCTAAGTTTTTTATTTGAATAACTTTATTATCTTTATGTCCAAGGTCATTTTTTATGTTTGTGAACTGTTGACAGGACAGTTGAGTGGAGCATGGAGCTTCAACTCTGAAGCAGTGTATTTTTTGCCAAGAGCTGGAGGAAGTTAAAAGTTGAGTGTCACTTGACCTCAGTGCCATCATGTGGGATCTACAACCCCTACGGTAGCAAGGGGCTTCGGATAATTTAGGGGCTTAAAGTTGTGATGTGGACATTTTTTTAATTATCATCTTTGAATGCTGGGTGGGGGGAGGGCAAATCCAAAAAGTGGTAGGGGGCCTTAAAATGCCAAGTGACGGCTCTAAATGGCCGCCCAGAAAAGGTTTCCATCACAAAAAGCAGTACTATTATCGTTTTACATGTTGAACGTAATTTTTTTAAAAACAACATATGTATAATAACTACCTGTTCAAAATATTTCTAAATTTTACTTGAGTCAAATAAATAAAAAAAACGGTTTTGTAGAAAGGTCTATACAAATGTACAGATATGGCTTTTAAAACTGGTCACTTTTATATAGATCTTATAACGGCATAATTATGTTCAGAAGACATGAGATGTTTATAAAAGACTTCATATATTTATTAATGTGTGATTTTATCTGAGGGAATCATGTAAAAATAAGTATAAATTGACCATTATTTAGTTGATTAAAATATTTATATTTGGAATTTCACAAACTACTACTACTATAATTATAACTCTCTTTAGGTAGATTACAAATAATTTTTCTAAAACTAGAACCAACGAAAATGGAATTGGCATTATACTCAAAAAGCTAGTTCTCAAAAAATAGTTTTTTATTTTTTATAGCTTTCCACTGGATTCTCATCCAAAAAATTAAACATACAAAACAATGAGTGCAAATAGGTGGGGCAGATTATTTATTATTCAGATATTAAAAAGAGAAAAGCAATTGGAAGTTTTTATCAAATATAGTTGGCTATAACTATCTACATATATAATTCGCCAGAAAAGGTCAAACACCAACACGGTTCAAACACCACATACGTCAGAGTGGGATTCAATAATGAGTTCACTAGGGCGCAAAATATAATTCCCGATAGCTACGCTATACATATTTTTTTAATAACGCAATTGCGTTTGGTGCGTAATATTTTATTTTCGGAAATGAAATCATATCAATTTAAGTATTGTGTAAAAAATATTTGGTTTAAAAGTGGTTGGGACATGAGAATATTAATATAGTTCATGGGCGTGAAATAAAAAGTGAGCAGTGACGTATCATGGAGGAAGGGGTGTAGCAAATATTGGGATTTTTAAATGAGCGTAACTTGAGTTCATGTTTTGTCAAGTAACTTTACTAGATGGGAAGATATTGTTATTAAATGTTTGATATTTTGTGACGTATTGCGCGAAAGGGGATATGATGTATTATTATTGTGTAGTGTGGTCTTGTGAGTAATGGCAGGTCAAGATGTAGCTTAGTTATGTAATAAAGATATTTTATTGTAAGAATGTATAGTTTGTGAAGTGAACCACCTGTTGGTCTTGAGACATGCGCACTGCGGTGGAGCTACCGCCCCCCCCCCCACTCCTGCTTTCCCTATATAGATAGATAGATAGATAGATAGATAGTTCATGGGCCTGAAATAAAATGTGTGCAGTGACACATCATGTGGGTTGGGGGGGGGGGGATGTAGCAAAAATTAGTAGTCTTAGATGTGCTTTAATTGAGTTCGTGTTTTGTCAAGTAACTTTAGCAGATGGGAAGTTCACGCATTGCTGTTGCCAATGTTTGGCGGGCTATATCTAGTCTTTTTTAAAACATGATGCCATCATACCATTAATAATTAACATCTATCCCTACTTGAAAAAATCATGCTTTTATGATGAAATACAATTTGAAATAGATTGCACATATTTGATACTTAGCAAGAAATATATTAATTTATAGACCTTTTTTGACTGATGTAAAGGTAGATTAGTAATCTGTTATTAAGGTCTTTAACGCTGAAAGGTTGCTAAAAATAAATATATAATAATACTGATACATGCGAAAAATGGGAAGTAAGACGTCGTTAAGCATAATCGGCAACAGCCAATTTTTGGAACAGTGCAATATTTATAATTGAATAGTGTAAGCATCTAATAAGATTAGAATTCAATATAGGGATCATCAAATATAATTTTAATTGATTAAAGGCACCAGATACTATACGTTTTAAAAAGTTATAAAAATGACAATTTAGCAGTTATTTTACTCACTCAACTACACTACAGTAATTATTATATTTGTACAATTCAGAGCAGTGAACTGGATACACTACCTATACTATGTAATAAGTCTATGACTACTTCTACTGTGCCACTCTCAACTGTAAGTTAATCGAGTTAGTGTGGATGGTCACCATTTTAAAAATTAGAGTATAGTATAGTACTAGTTCTGGGTAGTACTCAAAACTACAATCCACACACTACACTTCTAAAATAAAATAGGAATCAAAGTATAAGTATAAGTATAAAATATTAGCCTAAGTTGTCCTACAACCTAAGCCTAGTTTTAAGAAGACACTTTCTTCTATTTGATACTGATAGTTGATAGTACTAATATAGTAAGTTAAGTTACTAAAAGTTACTTGTAAAGTGTAGCCATGGTCATAGTTATAGACTGGGAGACCTAGCCCCTTATTAATCAATTAATAATCATTAACTTATACTTATACAGTTTTTTAAGTTATTCATTAGGAATAGAACCACGTTACTAGCAACAACTTTATTAAATAATTAAGTATATCACAAACTGATTTTAAATCATTTGCAAAAATGATAAGTAATATAAGAGTAAGACTAACATTTCCTAGTAACCGAGAAATTTGTTTGTAGTCGTAAACAAAAGCAATCATCACAAACGCAGCAACAGATTAAAGATTATTTAACGGTGTATCTAAACACCGAAAAAGAAGTTATTCGAGACTTGAGTTACAGATACAACTCAATAGAGACTTCTTTTGTTTGATAAATAAGTACAGTAGGCTAATGTGAAATATACCTACGAACTTTTATTTTATGACTGTCTGTCTGAATCTTTTAACTCTTTTGCCTTTTTTCAGTCTACCCTATCTATTTTTATAATTTATTACATAATAAGAGAATTTTAAAAACTTTTTAAAATTGTATTTTCATAGTATAGCATTCTCATCAATGTCGAATTTGTCCTAATCATGATCATATAGGGCCTACGTTTAAAGCAAGCATGAGCTTCGTGATGCGTGACGAATAAAACCCAAACACGGATCTTTTGAAAGGACAAAACATTTTAGGCCAATATTTTACTGAATGTCTGTAAATTTTCGGACGGTTGGCAACCCCGATAAAGGATTACAATGGCGATCGGTGGAACAGTAAAAAGGCTATTTGGATCCCCTTGTGATAGTGAAGTACATGGACATCGGATTTAACAGTTTATTTCCATATTAAAATAGTTTATTTCTCATATCTAAAAACTTATTGATGGCCACTGATATAGACACCGAGGGCAAGAGGCACTTCCCCACCCACCCCACCTCCTTTTCGAACGGCCCTTATGCAACATAGCTAGATTATTTAAAGCATAAACAAACATGGTCACTCTCACAATGATAGAGAATAAGACAATAAGAATTCCTGCCAAAGACAATCAGGGAATGGAACAAGCTTCCAAAAATGAACAGTTGATGTGACAAGACTTGACACATTTGCGCCTGTTGCCCCCAGCCTTCCAGCCCTCAGTTCCTAATACCAGCAAGAAGCCAGTATAGGAGCTGCTCATTCCTGCCCAAGACAATCAGGGACTGGAACAATCTTTCAAAAGGAACGGTTGAGGCGACAACACTAGACACATTTGTGTCTATTGCCTCAAGCCTTTCAATCTTTCAAAAGGAACGGTTGAGGCGACAACACTAGACACATTTGTGTCTATTGCCTCAAGCCTTCAAACCCCTAGTGCATGATTCCCTCACAAAGTGGCACTGGAAATCAGTGAAATTTCCTCAACAACACCAGGAACAGAAACATTGCAAATCCCATCTACATGCATAGGAGCCAAATGATCAATAAATTGAAGAATAGAAGAAGAAGAAGAAGAAAACCGACAGAATTTGTGTAGCATTAGCACACCCAATTTTTTTTAAAAAAGGATAATTTAAATCCCAAAGTACTGATTGGTGCCTTCTAGGCCAGAGTTGTATTTTTTAAAAAAGACAACAGATTAGAATAGTGTACTAACAACTTAAAATTGAAACAGTGCAAAATAATTCTTACCGTTGAATTGCCTGAATAAAAACTAAGAAATAATTTTATTGTAAGATTGGTAGCGACCAGACGCCTATTTGATAAAACGTAAGCTTATCATAAGTGATTAATCCAAAATCCACACGTGACAGTGGTTGACATTTATTTGTGATGTCAAAAAATTTCTTTGTACGTCCCGTTGATTGAAAAGACAAACTGAAAATATGCGAAGATCACTTAATATTTGTAATTTCATTTTACAGCTCGTCACTCACCAAAAGTAGTTTATTCTGAAAACTACCTGCTTCCAGCAAATTAACGCTGGCCGCTAAACATAATCTCTGTTACTTAGAAGCCTAATCATTTTGAAAACCCCAAACGGTAACATCGTTTCATTATTTATTCTACTTGTTAATGGCAATTCGTTAAATTTTTTTTTAAAAAAATGTTCACACACATTTCAAGGAGATTTCCCCTAATGAAAGCACAAATGTAGCAAGTTTGCAACTTTACAAGTCAGCAGCATCCCTGTATTTAAAAAAAAAAAGGCGA